GGTGGTGGTGGTGGTGAGAGTAGATACCTCTCGGGATCTTTTGTTCTTTTGCTGAGATTTTTTTTTTTTTTACTGTTCCATTCAATGTGTCTGCCGGTGTGCTAAACACTCTGCCTACTATATTCAAGCTATTCCTCACAACTTTATGGGGCAGGGGTCACCATTAACTCCATTTTACAGATGAGAAGAATGAGAACTTAAGCAACTTCCCCAGGGACACCAGCTAGTAAGTGGCAGAATATAAGACCCAATTCCCTGCTTCGTTGCAGGTGAGACGTGTAAGCCGCATTAGTAAGAAAGCAAAGAGAAAGCAGCAGGAGACTATGCAGCTGTCTGTGAAAGATGCCAGTTTTCTACAGGCGGAGAGCTACACTCGGTACAGGATAGGAATGTCCAGGCCAACTCCACACCAGTTCGGTCAGTTTCTCAGGGTGAGTCTGGACACTCGTGTTTTCGACAGCTTCCCCCAGTAATTCTAATCGGCAGCTGTGGCTGAGAATCACTACTCTAGACTCAGGGAGGAGGCGGAGAGGGGAGATAAGAGAACCCTTTTAGAGCTTTGAGGGCCTTAGAGCAAAACTTAGAAGGAGGGGGCATTCTGGGAAGGCAGGGGTCCCTGACGCAAAGCCCTGCCCTCACCTGATAGTGCATCAGCGTGTTGAGCCGCTTCCAGTCACCCTCGATCTTGGTGGTGATGTCCTCGTCCTGCAGCACGACCCGGGCAATCCGGCCTTGACGCCACTCTGGGTGGAGGGGTGGTGCAGGAGCAGTGTGAGGGGCGGGGCCCGGGACTGCCCAGTCGTGGGGTCCTCTAGGGGCCTGGCAACCCCGGCTCCCTCAAGCTGGTGCAATGACAGTGTTTCAGGCATCTGGGGCTCCGGGGGTGTCAATGCTGGCAAAAGCATGGGCCTCCCCAGAGATGGCCACATCTGAGCGGGCAGTGTTTCAGGCAAGCATTTCACCTGGCCCCTCACCTGGACGGGACCCAGTCATGCCCCGATGAGGGGCTGTCTGCAGGGCAGGGCTTCCCCCACCCCATCCCCGCCATAGCCCAAATGCCCTCCTGGAAGTTGCCCTCACACTCCCAGGCCAGGTTTCCTACCCAAGTCCATGTCAACAGCCCTCGGCCGCTGGGAGTAGGGCACGTTCTTGTAGACGGCATCGAGAATCTTCTCTTTGACCTGCGTGATGGTGTCACAGTTCAACACCTTCACTGGGATCTCCGGACTGTTCTCGTTGTCAGGGTTGACGCAGTTCAGGATCTACAGGTGGCAATGGAAGGGGGGCAGGATGCGAGTTGAAGGAGCCATTTGGGGGAGAGGGTGTGAGGCCCTGGAGCCTTCTCTTACCCAGGCTCCCCCTCCTCACAGGAGAAACGGGTGTCCCTCTGTCTGTGTTTGTTTCTCTCACCTTCCAGCCACCTGCCAATGACAGCTTGAGTCCTTCTGCCCACCTCTCTTTCTCAGAGAGCCAGGACCCTACTTTCTAGCCCCTGATGGCTTAGGGGAGGCTGTCATCCTGGGTGGAGACGTCCTGGGGGATCAGGGGTGCCTCCAGGTGTTTCATGGGCTGGCCTCCCACTTCCCCGAAGCCTCTATATTAGAAATCAGCAGACTTCTTCCTGGTAATGCTAATTTCCCCACAGCTAATGCTGAGTGATCTAGGGTAAACGCAGGTGTTGCAAGCTCTTTAGGCCCACCCAATGAGATAGGGGAGGAGGGGCCCAGGCCTGTGTGTCCGCCCTTGGGACACTTGGCATGCCCCCTGGACTGGCCCCCAGGCCAGCCTCCCAGCCTCTTTATTGACCCCTCAAACTGGCTTTGTGGTGAGAAGGCACAGAACCGATCAGAGGCAGGAGGTCCGTGCTGTCCCCTGGGCTTCCTGCCCCCTCACCAGGGTCTTGTACTCGATCTGCTGCCGGATGAGCTTGTCCTCGCTCAGGGAGTAGCGGGCCTCGCCCGTGATGGCATCGATGGGGCCCTTCTCCATCTGCTGCTTGATGGCGCAGTACAGCATGAAGAGCGGCTCCCCCGCACACTCCTGTAGGCGGAGGCAGGGCGTAGGTGGCGGGGTACCAGCCTCCTTCCCTCCTTCTCCTGACGCTATTTCTAGGCCCGCTTGGCTTTGGGGCACCCAGCCAGGTAGGTTTCTGTTCCTAAGGGGGGTCCCCACGCAGCCCTGATGGCCAGGCTCAGAGGGGCAGCCCCCCAGTTTGCTCTCAACTCCCAGTTCCTGTCTCACTCCCAGTCTCACCTTCAGGAACTTGTGCAGGAGGAAGGCAAACCAATTGGTCAGCATCTTCTCGGCCACGGACTCTGTCCTGGGGAGGCAGAAGGGATAAGGGAAGTCCTTTATGGAGGGGTCTAAGGGCGGGGGTGTGCCTAGCTTGTTGTGTGGACCAGGGTTCAAGAGAACAAGCGCATGAAAGAAGCCAGGGCTGGGGCCCAGGACACTGTGCCCTGTCCCAACTCTACCAGTAATGAGAAGTGAGACCTTGGGCTAGAGGCTTCTTTCTGGACCTCAATTTCCAGCAAAAACGGAGTGGTGCTATGGGTCTGCAGACACAGGGACCAAGAATACCATCCTCTTACCCTCTTCCAGCCTCAGGGTGATGGAGTTTCTATGTCCCTTTGGGATTTCCTGCATGTCTGAATATCTGCATGTCCACAAGGTCCCTGGTACCTTCCCCTCCAAACAGAGTCAGACTGCCTGGGTTCAAATCCTGACTCTGCTGTGTACTGGCCTGTGTGATCTTGAGTAAGTCATTTCCTCTCTCTGGGTTCAGTTTCCCCATCTCTAAATGGGGATGATAATAATAATAACCATCATCATTATCATCATCGTCTATCCCACAGGGATGTTGTCAAGGTTGAATGAATTAATGTATGTAAAGTGCTAAGAATAGTGCATATACCTGCTCGCTGTCATCACTGCTGTCCTGCGGGGTTGTGGATCCCAGCCCCTCAGGTAAAGAGCAGTGTGCGCAAGTGTTTAGCTGACAGGGGATCTGCCTCTGTAAGCACCGCCCCTTCATCCTGCCCCACCCCCATCATCCCAGGCTGCAGATCTGGGGACCTGCGAAGGAACGAAGCGGCTGTGACAGACCCTCAGTGATGGGGATGCCGGAGGGGTATTTTAACTTGCTGCACGTGGTGCAAATTATACCCTCCCGTTGCCTTAAATCCCAGGCATTTGCCAGGGCTGCTCAGCAATGCGGGCCTGGGAGAGAGTGACAATGGCAGCACCCTCTCCCTGCATTGTGCCTGAGATTAGCTCTAATTTAAATACAACAGTTCTTAATGAGAGTTTCTAATGCTCAGATTGGCAGAATGGGGGCTCTGTACTCATAAAACAAAGCTATTCTTTCTCCCTCCTCACCCCACATGGGGTCTGGAAGCCTGAGATCTTGCAAGGAGAAGGCTGCTGAGAAGGCAGTGAAATGGAGGTGGCACATTCCAAGCCCTGCTGCCAGCTGAGCTCCAAAGCTGTGCTGGGCTCCCCAGGGCCCCCAGAGAGGGTAGGCTCGGGGATGGATGCCAAGGTCTCTGACCCTCTTCCCCGCCAGGAAAATGGCAGCCGAGGAGGGAGTGGTGGTGGATGCTGGTGATTCAGATCCAGGAAGCTGGGCACTGATGGGAGAGGCCACACCATATCTCCAGCTGGGGGCTGTCCAACAGAGCTCCTGCTATGATGGGAATGGCCTCTATCTGTGCTTCCAATATGGCGAACACTGAGCACTTGGGATGCAGTTAGTGCAGTGGAGGAACTGAATTTTACATTTTCTTTTAAATTAATGGTCACATGTGCTACTGTGTTGGACAGTGAAACTCAGGATGCATGGGGAGGGAGACTTCAACACAGGTATTATTAGTGTCATTTTGTTCACGAGGAAACTAAACAGCAGAGAGGCCACGTCACTGGCCCAAGATCACGCGACTAGCAGGAAGCAGAGCCGGGGTTCAAGCTCAGATGCTCTGGGGCCTGTGCTCCTGCATCACGCTCAGCACCTGCAGACACGGCACAGCCACCCGGACTGAAGGAAGATGAGACTCTGCACTGGGAGCTGCGGGGACACAGGCCTTCCTGGGGAGGGGCGCCTTCTCGTGGGACCAACACTAACCAGCCCTGCCCCCCACCCCGGACGTCCCTGTTTAGATGCCTCCCCGCCCCTAGCGCAGGTCAGACCTCCGGAGAAGCAGCTTGGGGTGGTTCTTGTTCTCCAGGTTCTTATCGATGAGGTCAGAGAGCAGCTGCTTGAGGACGTCGGTGGCGTACTCCAGGCGGCCCTGCAGGCCGGTCATGATGAGCGAGGCAACGTTGCCGCGATCTCGCATGGAGAAGCTGCGCTGCAGCTCCAAGGTGCGGATGAAGGTCAG